GGGGGGGCAATTAAACAGTCAAAATTCATATTGTTTAATTGTTAGAAACACACACGTTCACCAAAGTCAAATTACTAATTAGTTACTTTTATAATTATTATAATCTAATCATCAAATAGTTCATATCCCACGTTTCGGCCGCTAGTAGTTACTATCTCAAACGCCCCCCAGTGGCACAGCGGTATGTCTGCGGACTTATAACGGTAGAAACTGGGTTTCGATACCCGTGGTGGGTAGAGCACAGATAGCCCTTGTGTAGCTTTGTGCATAATTAAAAACGAACAAGTACTATCTAATAATAATAAAAAAGTAATTAATTAATAATTTTATTTAAGTGATCGCATACACAGCTTTAGTAATTAATCTTAAAATTATGAAATTTAATGCTTATTATATTTGTTACATATTTACAAAATTCTACTGTTAATCTAGTTTATTGTTTTTCACAAGGTTTATAATTTTCCTTCCCAACGTTTATCTATTACAACCGATTATTCCAAGTGTTTGATAAACAAACAATTTTTACTGAAAGAATGAATGGTTAGAATCTTGCTACTAACCAATTATCATTATTTTTCATATTAGGAAGTAATGCTACTTTGAAATGTTAAAGTGATCTAAAATTTTCATAAAGTCTATATACTCTATATGTAGAGATGGCCATGGTACTCAATAGGCATAATACAAACACGCACGCTGAGAACATCAACAATGACAGATATTTTTCATTTGTTTTCTCTACTCAACAAGGCAAGAAACCATCGCTAAGATACCAAACCAGAAAGTGACCAACCCACCAAATTGTGCACCTTTCTTCTTGTTTCAGTCAAGATAACTCTACAACTACTTTATCACTGACATTCGTTTAAACCTAAATTTACTCTATGTGTTCCAGGGCAGTGCACGATGTCATCGCTTAGTCGAAGTAACTAGTAGTAATTCAAAAATCACAATTCTAGTGTAAACGGTGTTAACATTAACCCTTGAAGTTGGCTTTTTTAGAGAAATATAGTGTTACATTAAAAAGATTATGTACAGAGTGAAACAAGAATTACCAGCCAATAATAGATGAATAATAGACTGTAACGTGTGGAATCCTCAATGCTTTGTACACTATACAGTTGGTGTTTTTATGGAGCTAACCACTATAGTATGTATGAAGTGAAAGAGTAAAAAAAATTCTATACACATAATATTAAATTTTATTACACACATTCATAGAATACACTAACTTTCAGTCAGGGGTAAAAGCGTCACAAGACAAGCAATAAAAATAGTTTGTAAAGGTAAAATAATGTAGGGATGGCTGTGCCAAAAAGAATGTAAACAAGAATATATGGATGATGCAGCTATACAGAGACATCTCAAAATTAAATAGACACCATGGTTTTTGTCAATAGTCATTTATCTCACATCATCAACTTGGCAAAAATGTTTACAAATGTGCATCAGTACTTAATCGTTTTACCACTAGCTTTTTTCAGTGCTTTGACTCGTTCTGGCACGGAATCTATGAGTTCTGCAATTTTTTCCTGTAGGATCTTGACCCAGGCTGCACTCAAAACACCAAGTAGCTCTCCACGAGACGCTAGTTTTCTGGAACTTCTTCTCACTGCTCGAGCAAGTATGGCCCAGACATGCTCGATGGGGTTCATATCAGGTGACTGACTTGGCCATGGAAGCCGTTGGATGCCTTTCTTAATTAAATGACTATTGAATAAACATCATGGTGTCTATTTACTTTTGAGATGTCTCTGTACATAGGTCATTCCTACGTGACTTTCAATATTAAAATTTAATGTTACACTCTAAAATGCACGAGTACAAAATGGTTTCGGGATCGGTCAATTCGACCGACCTCGTAGCGAGAGTCTGTAATAATCAAGACATGTTTTGACTCAACTTGGTTTTCCTTGTTCGTAGGTCCTAAGCTCTTAGTTACACTACATTAATGCCTACCCTGACATGTCCATGATATTATTAGAAATAAACTGGATACCAACAATCAGGAATATGTAACTTCCAACTGCAGTAATATTAAAGTATCTATGTATAGCTGTATCATCCCTATATTCTTATTAGCATTATTTTTGGCGCTGCCATACCTACATCATTTTACATTTACAAAAAGTTTTTTCTTACTTTTTCATTACTATAAGTTGATAATCTTAGCTGAAAAAATGAAGAATTGTTATGAAAGATAATAACATGTTCAAAAATATTGTATTTTATTAATTCCAACGCTCTATAATTATATTTGTATTCGTGATTGTTTTTATATTAGAAATAAGATTATTAATATGCTAACTACATAAAACATAAAGTATCACATTAAAAACATTTTCAAGAATAATAATATTTTAATTAATCATTCAACAATGTTGTACTAATCTGAATCTGACGTGAAAGAGTGTCTTCGAATACTTAGCATAGTATACATATATATATACTATCTACAACATTTCTAGATAAATGTCGTCCTAAAGGCGCCAAACACTAATAATAATATCAATAATTTAGTGATTACTTAAATATAGCCCTAATGGCAATAATACATTTTTATGTTATAAAAATATTAGGTTGTTGTAATTTTTAATTCAAATCAAATATTGAATTACAGCCATACATTTTTGCCTAAAGGATTCCTTGTTATCATATACAAAAAAAAGAAACAACTCAATTTGTGCTATACAACTGTATCCGTTGCTTTTCTCTGTTTATACTTTCGATAATCTAGAGAAAATTCAAAAAAATTTCCCGCTAAGATGTTTTTTTTCTCTCGTGTGTGTGTGAGAGAGAGAGAGAGAGAATCTGTTAAGATGTTTCAATTAAAAACATTTTGATGTTTTGCATAATTATACCATCTACTACTATTATTAGTATTACTCCAACTTCATAGCACCTGTCATGTAATTTTAAAACACAATTAATAATAAGATTGTATAACAACAACGATAGATTATTCGCTAGCATTACCAAAAATTAATCTTGGAACCAATTAACAGTGAATTATTACTTGCTTAATTTGTTTCTGACACGAAGTTCGTGTCAACTAACAGATATTTCATCAACAGTGTAATCTGAGTATAACATGGAAGACATCACAGTTACGCTCAATTAACAGCATTATTTCGTAAACACAAAACACCTTCGAAGCAAAAGAAAAAGAAAAATTGTCATTATTGTGTTGTACTTAAACCGATTTCAATACAAAAAAATATTTTTAGAGTATCTTACGCTACTGTGGACATTTAAAAATTTTGGTATATTGACAGTACTTAACAAAACTCTAACCAAACAACATTATCATCTACACTCTTTACGTTACAAAATGAAAACTGCACTAACAGTTGTAATAATG